CCAGGACCTCATGCTGAGTGAAATAAACCAGTCACAAAAGGACAGATCCTGTGTGATCCCCCTCATATGAGGTCCCTAGAGCAGTCAGAGTCCTAGAGACAGAAGTAGGACGGTGGGGGCAGGGGCTGGAGGAGGGGATGCGGAGTGAGTGTCGAATGGGGACGGAGTTTCTGTCTGGGGAGATGAAGAATCCCAGGGATGATGGCAGTGGTGGTCGCACGACGATGTGAGTACACTTATCACTGAGTTGTTGACTTAAAAGTGGTTAAAATGGTAAATTTTATTTTATTTTTATTTTTTTTAAGTAATTGAAAGTATCATAAGCAATTCTTTTCCCAAGCTTTTTTATTAATGTTGCGGGTAGGAGTTTATTAATTAATTAATTATTTTTTTCTGTGTTGCGTCTTTCGTTGCTGTGCGAGGGCTTTCTCGAGTTGCGGCGAGCGGGGGCCCCTCTTCATCACGATGCGCGGGTCTCTCACTGCCATGGCTCCAGACACGCAGGCTCAGTAGTTGTGGCTCACGGGCCTAGTTGCTCCGCGGCATGTGGGCTCCTCCCAGTCCAGGGCTCGCACCCGTGTCTCCTGCATTGGCAGGCGGACTCTCAACCACTGCGTCACCAGGGAAGCCCCTAAAATGGTAAATTTTACGTTACGTATAATTTACCACAATAAAAATCCCTGAGTCCTTAACGATGCTCGGTGAGAGGGTGAGAGAGTCCAAGACCTTGGCTACAGCAGGAGGCGACTGTTGCCTGTCGGTTGGGAGGAGACGGGAGGGGCAGCTCGTCCCCCCGAACCTGCCGGAGGACACAGGTGGAAACGTCGCATAATGGGAAAGTCACCACTTAGCCAACCAAGCAAGGTGGCTTCCCTGGGATGGGGCGTGGGGGCTACAGCTCCAGGAGGGGCGGCCAGGGTGCCGGGGGGCGTCCACCACACCACCCATCACCGGCCCTGCCGCCGTGATCCCGGTGCCAGAAACGTCGAACTGAACCTGCCGGGCCTGTAGAACCACTTCCCAGTCACGGGAAGCCCGCGATGGAGAGCCACGCACAGTGACTCTGGGAGGACCCAATCAAGCAAATCCAGAACGTGCGACATTTTAGGAGACAGGCCCCTTCAGAAAGCGAATGTCACGGGCGCAAGGGGTCCTTGTGGTGCACGGGCTTCCGAGTGAGGAGACCAAGAGGCCTGACGCCAACCAGGTGCGCCGTCCCTGCTGTAAACACCTGGGGGCAACCAGGCCGTCTGTCGGGGGCCGAGGGGTGCAGAGGGCGGGCAGGACACGCACGTGGCTCTGGAGGTGAGCTTGGGGGGGCTGGGTGCCGAGCCAGGGGCCTGACTCTGCTCACAAACACGAAGCCCGTCTCAGGGATCTTCGTGCCCGTTGAACGTGGGTGGTGGTCCCCTCCTTCCCCTATAAAACCTCTAGGAGCCGTGAGGAAAGTGGAGGTGTTGCCCGGAGGTGCATGGTGCCCGGCAGGTGCCCAGACAGCGTCGCCACCGCCACCCTCTTACCTCTTCTTGAGTTTGAGTCCGTGAATATCCGACCCACTTAAAACGGTGAACGATGTTCCCCTGTCATGAGGTGATGGAAGTGAGGTTGCAGACAGGATCAGTGAGGAAAAGCTTCTGGGTTCACAGACACCTGCCTGGTGGAAGTGGGACCACGGAAACTAGTGGCCTCTTCTCAAGGGGGCCCCCGGGGCATTGTCAAGAGGGGGCTACAGGGTCCCCCTTTGTCCTGCCTGAAAGACACTCAGCCTCCAGGAAAAGAACCCAGCCCCCTCACCCCCGCAAAACCCCTTCCCCACACCTGCTTTGCTGGTCAGGAATTGTGCTCGGAAGGGGGTGGGGTGGGCACAGCTGCCACCCCCCAGCTCACAGCCCTCCACTCCCACCGCAGGGGCCCAGGCTTCCCTTCCCAGACCCCCCTGAAGACCCCAAGGGGAGGATTCAGCTGCCACCCCTGACCCGACAGCCACGGCACAGAGGGTGACGGTGGCCAGGGTTTCAGGCCCGAGCGCATTAGTTGGGTGCGGGGCAGCCCGGGAATATGCGGACCTCTAGGTGGGCGTGTAGAAGGGAACAGTCCCGGGGAGGGCCTGGGCCGCCCCCATGATGACAGCTGGCCCCGCCATCCCTGAGGGTGCCTGGCCCACTTGCCGAATGTGGGCAGTGCCCCGGCTGAGGCCCTGCCTCACTCGGACCCCAGGGGTGTGGCTACCACCCGGCCCACCCAGAGCCTCAGCTCTCCCTTCCGCTGCTCATCTGGGAAGAGCTGCCCTGGGCAGGTGCTCCAGAAAGGCCGAGGTGATCCTGTGCTCAGACCCGCACAGTGCTGCGCACCCAGCTCTCCAGCCATGTTCCCACCCACCCTGAGAAGCTGCAGTGTGGTGGAGGTCGGGGAACGGAGAGGGAGCCGGCCTCCAGCCGCCAGACGAACGTCAGAGGGAAAGTGCAGAGTGGGGGCCCGCCCTCCCACGCTCCCCGGGACCTGGATATGAGCGGGGGGGG